TTCAAACTTTACAGTGTGATGTACTGAACTATAATATCTGTCCAAGGAGGAAAATTGGGAGCTATAAAAGGACAGTGGAGCGAATACTTGAAATCAAAAGGGCTGATTAGGAGACCCAAAATCACATACACAAAAGCCATATACTTGCCTAAAGGGGCAACTCTTGTTTAGAGTTATATGTTCTGGGTCTAAGAGAGGAAAAGAATAAGACTGGGAGTCAATTATATATGACACACACACACAAACACACACACGCATGGACAAAACTTATGAAGAAAACATATATATATCCACATCATACAAGCAAAGAAACGCCACAAAAACCCACGTGGAATACATATGCAGACCTCTAGACACAGTGACGCACCTCACCCACCTAGAGTTCTCAGCTCACTCTGACCTGTGCGAGTCCTTGGTGACCCCAGGCACCTACTAATCCAAAGTTTCCTGAACCTCAGCTTCCGTTGAGAACACCAGGAACAAAAATGTAAGAAGAAAGCCTCTGTGAGCCCACAACCTCCTGAACTTTTTGTGTCTGTTTTTGAGCTCCAGAGCAATAGGCAGGAGGATACCATTTTACAAACTTCAGAGAGGATTTATAAAAATTCCCTAATCTCCTTGTTAAGTAAAGAATCAATGTAGACTAATTGCCTCCAATTCCTAACAGACAATTAGTCTGGGAGGAGCTTGTGCAGAGGCTGGAGGGACGGAGCTGCAGAAGCCACCTGAGAGGATGCCCCTGATATCAGGGACAGCCTGGGCTCCTCTCTGCATGCTCACAGTTCCAGCTGGGAAGGGGAATGCCGTAGTCATCCTCCAAACCAATGTTGCCAATGCACTGGGTCAGCATCTCCAAACAACACATTTTGGTTAAGGTATGGAAATTCTGGATTCTGCAAAGTGGTTTCCCACACCACTTATAATTGCTACCATGAGAGTACAAATCTAGCTTTAACTTGACGTCCTGCAGAGTCCTTCTTTCCCTTGGGAGAGACTTCAGGCCATGCAAGGGTGCCTTGTCTTAGAGATTGTAGAGTACTGCGATCGAGTCCTTGGGCTCAGTACTCAGAGTGAACTGGTTCTGGGCTCTGCCACTCGTTAATTGTTGGCCCTACACAAAGTAAATATCCTCTCAGCCCAGTTTCATCAGTTGTAAAGTGCAGATAATAATTGCATTTTCATCACAAAGTTATTATTGAGATTAAATGAGATGATTTATGCTAAAGCACATGATAAATGCACAATAAATATCCGCTCTTGCTGTCATTATTTTGTATCTTCTAAAAAAGATAATTTTACCTAGAATCACTGATATTGATACAGGATTGATATTGAATGAATGACTGAATTAATTGATTAATAAATTCTTCTGATAAAACTACTGCTTCCTTAAGAAAAACTTAAATTATCCCCTTAGAATAACAATAAAATTATGTGATGCAAGTTTCAGCAGATCAGTCAATCCACTTTTACTCTCCTTTTGTTTAACACATGGTAACTGACATCTCCATTGGCTGGATGACTGCAGACTCCCTCAGGGCCAGAGACAGCCCTCAGGCAGAGAAGAAAAACGCAAGAACTTCCTGAAACAAGCTGTCAGCTTGCTGAAAACCATCTAACACAGCATCCAAGAAACTCAAGGGGGACAAGGCGCTTCAGGTTGAGCATCAGCTACAGTCCCCACGATGCACTACCCATATCTACTCATGCCACCTCACTGAGCCTGGAAGATGGTAGCCAGGCATATACTGTATAAATAGAATTTTTTTTTTTTTAAAGATTTTATTTATTCAGTTTTTCCCCCCAAAGCCCCAGTAGATAGTTGTATGTCATAGGTTCACATCCTTCTAGTTGCTGTACGTGGGACTCGGCCTCACGTTGGACGGAGAAGTGGTGCCTCGGGGCGCGCCCGGGATCCGAACCCGGGCCGCCAGCATCAGAGCGCACGCACTTAACCGCTAAGCCACGGAGCCGGCCCATGTATAAATAGAATTTAAAAGGGAGAGTTAGTGGAACAAACTACAATCTTTACCACCACAGCTGATCCCAGGAATGTAATTGAAATTCATCACTGTCTTCCTCTACCATCCATTTTGACTTCCTTTATTGTCCTCCAACACAACCACTATTCAAGATTGCTTTGCAGATCTTCATTCCTGAAGTGTCAGAGTCTTGATTATCCTGCTCTGTTTACCTATCATGTGGCAGAGCTACAATTTTCTGCTTACTGTTATTATTGGTCAGGGAAGCACCCCTAGTTCTTCGTGATAATTAGGGTCAATTACTCCTTTCTTTGTCTCTTGTCTTCCAGAATGAAGAACCTAAAATTGCCAGGCAGCCATCCTACTTTAAGATCAAGAAACCACCGGTACGTTCTCTGTGGAAGCACAGCCCCACAATCAAAGACCAAGACTTCTAAATCCACAAAGCCTAAAGTTGCAGGAATGGGAAATACCCATGAGATGAAAGACCCATAGGTGTGGATTATAGACCTACATGTAAAATGAAAAAATATAAAACTCCTGAAAGATAAATGGGAGAAAAACATAGACGAATTTGGATATGGCTGTGACTTTTTAGATACAACACCAAAGTCGCCATCCATGAAAAAAGCAATTGATAAAATGCACTTCATTAAAATTAAAAACATCCACTCCGCAAAAGACAATGTCAAGAGAATGAGTAGGCAAGGCACAAACTTGGAGAAAATATTTGCAAAAGACACATCTGATAAAGGACTATTATCCAAAATATACAAAGAACTCTTAAAACTCAGCAGTAAGAAAACAAACGACCTAATTAAAAAATGGCCCAGAGACCTTAACAGACACCTCACCAAAGAATATACAGTTGACAAATAAGCATATGAAACAATGCTCCACATCATATGTCATCATTGAAATGCAAATTAAAACAATGATGGTATGTCATTACATACCTATTAGAATGGCTAAAAGCTGAAAGATTGACAACATCAAATGTTGGTGAGGATGTGGAACAACAGAAGCTAAAGGTTGCCCATAGGAGGTGGGCCAGGTGTGGCACAGAAAGAAGGGGAATGGGAACAGCATAGATATTGACATATACAACATATAACTTTCAATCTTTTTATACGTTTGAAAAACCATGGTTCAAGTTGATATCTCCAATTCTAGTTTGATATGATAGAGTTCTTTCAAGCCTTTCCTCCTCCATGTATTAGCTGCCTTTCCCTGGTAGTGAGGAGTCATTCCCTTTTCCACAATATGTCTACTTATTTGCTGAATCTTTGAACACATGCTAAGTAATTTCAGAATCTTTAGCTAATACCACTGTTAGTGACAAACTAACTGCAGCTCAAAAACTTTGTTTACAGTTGTTTTTCTTTCTTGTGAGAGTATATAGACAAAATTCTGTGGTCAAGAATCACTTAGGTTAGATAATTTATTTTCCCCTATAGTCTAATTATGGTTATTAATTTGAAATATAATTAGGTCCATTTGTTTTGTTTTATGCTATTTTGCTTTATTCCCCATATTCTTCTATTTAATGTTTTGTAGGAAAAAGATAACATAGTAAAAGCTGTATGAATAAATACACTCAACTCCCCATCTTTTCTGCTTCATTCCCACTCACCTTCTGTAGATAAGCAATCTCATTAGTTTCTAATTTCTTCTTCTTTTGTTTCTTTTTGGTCAAATGGGCAGACACATGAATACTTTACTTCCCCTTCATTTTTACACAAAAAGTAGCATGCTACACAGGCTTTTTTAAACATTTTTTTTTCCATTAACAATATAACCTGGAAATCCCTCCATATTAATTCATAGATATCTTTGTCATTATTTTTTCACACCTGCAAGGTACTCGATTGCTTTGATGATTCCATAGAGTTTGCTTTTGGAGTCCTTGAATGAGATAGTGGTTATGAATGTACTAAATTGTATATATCAAATGGTTAAAATGGTAAATTTTATGTTATGTATATTATGCTACAATAAAAAAATTCAAAGAAAATGTAAGAAGTAATCTCAACATAAAGCACAGAAAATAATTATAAAATAATAATAATGTATGAGTAATAAGTTAATAGAGGGGGAATGGAATAACAAAATATATATTTAATTAATCAAAAGGGAAAAAGAGAAGACAGAATAAATATGAAACAGATATCTCAAAAGGAAAACATATAGTAACATGGAAAATATAAATTCAAATATATGATGATGACACTAGACATTAATAGAGCAAATTCTCCAGAAATGTAATGATGGTTGATATGCATAAAAAGAGCAAAACCCAACTTTACCCTGTTAACAATGGACACTTCACAAATATAAAGACATAGAAAAGTTTAAAGTAAAGTGATGGAAAAGAAATACCACGAAACACTAATCAAAAGAAAGCTGGCATATCTATACTAATATCACAAGTAGTAGATGAGATGTTAAAGTAAGAGCTATTGCTAGAGATAAAGAGGCATATCTCCTAATTACAAATTCAGTGGTGTACTGTTAAATGCATAAAAAATGACTCTCTCTCACTTTTTTATGAAGCCTAGTTTTGTAGCATTTTACAATTTCCATAGTGTAATTATTCCCAATATGGCTGATTTCAATCAACCAATAGTATGCCATTGAATATGGAGTTGGAACGAAATGTGCACAATCAGCTGGAAACCAATGCGAGGCAGCTTCAGCACACCAGTGCATCAAAGAATCAGTCCACCAGGAGAGATCGTGATGCTAAATCTATGTGTCCTCAATAACATAGTATAAAAAATACGTGAGCAAAAACTGACATATCTAAAAGTAGAAAAAGAAAAATCCACAAATTATTTAGGAATAAAGAATGTTTAACAATCCAAGTAGCACTCTTGATCTAGTTGACATATTAACAACACTATACGTGACAGCAGAGCACAGATTCTTTTAAACTTATACAGAGTTGTCAAACATTCAATAATTTTAGGAGATACATCTCACTGTGCTCATGACTGCAATAAAATAATTTAGTGGTTGTCACTTAAATAAGTTAGCCCTATTGACAAATATTTCTAGAGCCTGTTTTATATCTCTGTTCCTTAGGCTATAGATGAAGGGGTTTAGCATGGGGGTAACTACTATATACACGACCGAAGCAATTATGTCTTTGTCATTGGAATCCCATGATGAGGAGAAAAAGTAAACAACTGCAATGGTCCCATAGTATAAAGACACCACAAAGAGATGGGAGCCACAGGTAGAAAAGGCTTTAAAGAGTCTCTTCATGGATGGGACCTTCAGGACAGTTGTCCCTATATGGATATATGAACCCAGGATACTAATCAAAGGCAAGATGACAACCATTGCTCCCTCAGTGAACATGATCAGCTCATTGAGGGAGATGTCTGAGCAACTTATCTTCAGGAGGACAATGAGGTCACAGAAGAAGTGGGGGATGGTATTGTCAGCACAGAAGGAAAGTTGAACCAAGAGGAGGGTGTGCAACAGGGCATGTGCACAACTGAAGAACCAGGACCCAGCTACTAATGAGAGACACACCTCCTGCCTCATAACAGTTGTGTAGTGGAGTGGCTGACAGATGGCCACAAACCTATCATATGCCATCACTCCAAGAAGGAAATTGTCAAGACAACCAAACAAGGTCAAAAAATAAAACTGAGAAATACACCCCACATGGGGGATGGATTTTTCATGAGTCTGCATGTTCATGAGCATCTTTGGAACCGTGACAGATGAAAGGCAAATGTCAGAGAAGGCCAAGTGGCTGAGGAAAAAGTACATGGGGGTGTGGAGGTGAGAGTCCAGCTTGATGAGCAGGATGATGAGCAGGTTCCCCAGCACTGTGGTCAGGTACATGCCCAGAAACAGGGCAAAGAACAAGCCCTGCTGCTCTGGAGAGATGGGGAGCCCCAGGAGGAGGAACTCTGACACGCTGCTCTGGTTCTCAGGCCTCATAGTGCTCTTCTAGATACTGGGGCTGAAAAAGGTTTGGGAATCTCAGGAACCTAGAAAAGATGAGGAGGACCGTCACATTTCATACTGTAATTCACTGGGAAAAAATGAATTTTTAACTACACTCATTAATTTCTCACACTTGTGGATGCATGCATCTTCCCTCTATCCCAGTCTGGCTTCAGGAAAACATTATACCCAAAACGCGGCCAACAAAGAACTCATTGCACAGAAGGAAGAGGGTATTCATTGCTTCCTTGAACCATTATTCACTGAACACTGAGTCTGAACAGGGACTTCTACTAGGGATTGCAGCAGTGAACAGAATGTCAAGACCCCTTCTCTCTGTGAGTGTGGATCTTGATGAGCATAGAGGGATGATTCACCACACCAAGACAGAGGCAAATCATAATTTACTGTGGCAGAAATAGCACATAAGCCTCAGCAAACTGGTATGAGTTGTTTCTGCCTTAAAATAACGTGAGACTCCATTGCTGAGGCAATGTTGTTGCAGCATCGTCACACTCCTCCTGTGAATCTGCCTGGGTCCCAGTAACCTACAGCTATAAACCCATGCTCACTCTAGAAGTGGGTGTTAATTTAAAGCTGCTTGATGTCAGAATAGCTCCCAAACTAGAAGATTCCACAAACTATCTTCCATAAGAATGGTGAACATTTTGGTAAACATTTGGGTACTAGGTTAAGGACTTTACCTACGTTTCCTAATTAAATCCACACAACAGCCTTACATTCCCAGATTTTAAAAAATCTTTTCAGCTGCACTAAGAATGAATGTTCTTTCCTCTGTTTTAGGTCTTAGGTAATAGGAACATACATGATATAAATTTCATATACATATAAAGTATATGTATTACCATTTTCTGTAGGTTAAAAATTATAACATATTGACTATTTCATGCAGTTCTATATAACATGTCTGTGTGATCAGACCCCACGCTGTCAATCACTACACGTGGAAACTTTCCCCATCATTGGTTAGGAGCACCAGACAACCTGTCTTGCCTTAAACCTGCAAAGAAGACTAAGTAGGTGAAAATTTTCTTAGTTCCTTGCCTAGATACTTCTCTTCACTTATATTGATCTATTTGCCAATTGACTAAACACTTTCACACTCATTATCATTTATTCAAACAGCAAATAATTATTGAGGGCCTGTAAGTTTCATGAGGCAAGGTAATTAATTCCATTTTATAGATCGAAAACTGAAGCCACAATACCAAGTGATTTTTCCAAGGTCTTGCCACCTTTTGGTGAGGGTTCTGCACTCTATATTCACACAGCATGACGCCTGACATGACTTTTCCTGGGACATTAAATGAAGGGTTAAAAAACTCTGAGTGACTTAGTGACCCTCAGGTGTATGAAAATCACAGCAGATCCATTTCAGAAACAAGGAGTTGCTTGGAGCTTTGGTTTATCTCAGTCAGTGTTATTCCAGAGGAAGGTACTGAAGGAAATATTTGAGTCACGGGGGAAAATCAGAAGCCCCAAACGAACATGCAAATCACACACACACACAGACACACACACACACACACTCACACTGCTGTTTTGAGGATTCCAGTCACCTGTGACCATTTCACATCCTAAGGGAAAAATAACCAGTATGTGGTTCAGTTCATAAACATTGTATACATACATACAAGTCAAAAATAACATGCAAAGTGAGACACACACAACACACAATGATGTACCATCCACCCCCAAACACACTCAGAATGTACATTTACACATCTGACACGTGACATACCTGATAAACACTCAACTCACCACAGATACACAATGCATCTTTATACACACGTATCACCAAAAACACACAAGGCCACACAAAATGCAACAGTCTCAAAAGAAATACACACCAAAATCACAGATACACACCCAGCTACACACTCATGATAACAAGCAGCACACACACTCCCATTCCTTAGAGGTGTGCTTCAGCCCCTTATGACACACACACTTCCCTGGGGAAGATAGTCAGCATTGGGCATTTAAGCCTGTTCAGTCACAGGCACATTCATTAAGCAAACAGCAAAAACCTACACACATGGTAACATCCAGATGGTAAGATACACAAAGACAAAGCAAACAATTCACATTCTTGCTCTCACACAGGAGTGTGTCACCCACAAACACAGCTCACAAATATACTATCACCCTGCTATGTGGAGGTTTGAGCCCTCTTGGACTTCAGCTCCTTGGTGAGGTTGGGTATCTTCTTCTGCAGGAACAGAGACAATAATCTCACTCCCGAAGCTTAACTCTCAGCCTCTCAGCTTTGATGCAAATATTTAAGATTACAGGCATGAATCAGGGATCCCTAATCACATGTTAGGAGCCTGATAACTTGGTCTGCATGTGCTCAAACAGAGTCCAGATTTGGTCTTATTCAGGAAAAGAATCAGGCTGTAAGTCAGATACATAGTATCCACATATGCATGCAAGTGTCAAATAACAGGAACACAAGCACACAGGCACACTTGTACACACACGTGCACCCATGAACACCAAGGCACACAAACTCACAAGCACACAGGCTGACCCGTTACCAAGTGCAGACTTCCAGCTCTCTCTGACCTGTGCTCATCCGTGGGGAGTTCAGACACCTTCTGCTCCAGAATGTTACCCAAATTTCAGCATCTCTTCAAGATACTTGGTATCCACATGAAAAGAAGACACATCGGTGGTATCGGTGGCTTCTACAGATTTTTCATGTTCTGTAACCAAATCAGGAGGAATGATCAAAAATATAACATTTTAAGTACTAGCAAGAGGAGAGAAACAAAGTCCCTAGGCTTCTATGTCAGAAAGGAGCCACCACAGGCTAATTGGCTAATTTCTTCTTGCCCTTTGGGGAGCTACATGTCCAGGAGGCAGAGGAGACTGGAGTCCCAGGGGATGGTGTCTCTGATGCCAGCAATGCCCTGGACTCTTTTCTTCTTGGGCATGGTTCCAGCTGGGACAAAGGATTTTTTCAAAAAGATTGTTCTAATGGCTTGTTTATAAAGGTGTTGACAAGTTTAAGGGAAACTATTAAGGGATGGTGAGGCACCCAGGGCTAGCAGCAGTGAGAAACTGGTGCAAGAGGAGGGAGTGGTTATGTGAACCTGATGAGACATGTAGGGGTGAGAGAGAACCCCTGGACAGGAACTGTGGACACCCACCATCAACCCATGGTCCAGCAGGGAGGAAAACAGGAGAATAAATACCCCAACCTATCTCTCCTTCTGCATTTGACCTCTTGCTTGTGTTTCCATTGGCCAAATCCAAAGGTCCAGGGACTCCAGTTGATACAGTCTATAAAGGCCAGATTCCTGAGACAAAACAGGATGGAGAAGGCTGGAAAATGGATCTGGAGGAGCAAATGGAGACTATTTAGCACACATTGGTATAGAAAACATTTTCCAGTTAACACATTTGTGTGCCAATTTGTGGATGGCAAATACGCTGATACGTTCCGTTCTACAGGCAGGCTTCTTTCTTTGGTATTAAATTGCCTCTACAGTTTCATTATAGAGACTGTAAACTCTTTTTTTTTTTTTTTTTGGGAGGCCTCACTGCAAAAATAACTGAAAAATAGTAACATAGGAGAAAGTTTAGTTGTATTATTTTTTCGAGAGTAAACACCCATTTCAGGATGTTTAACCCTCCTTTTTTTTTTTTTAAATTTTTTGTTTACTGCAGTAACATTGGTTTATAACATCGTAAAAATTTCAGGTGTACATCATTGTACTTCTATTTCTGCATAGATTACATCATGTTCACCACCCAAATACTAATTACAACCCATCACCACACACATG